CCGGTTTGTGACACCAACCGGGACTAAAGATCCCCGCCCCTCTAACAAGGGACTGACAGGGGATGAACCGGGACTAAAGATCGTAGAATGGCTATGGGGTTTTAAACCGGGACTAAATTAGTCCCGGTTCTTTTTATAACCGAGACTATTGTGGTTTTGGGGCGACCGAGCAAAGATCAGTTTTCCAGTAGTGATAGTTTTCTATAATTCTGGTGCAGTGCACTATTTATCAATTATCGGTGCCGTACACTTGGATTGACAAAGAAGGACACGATATAAATAGGGATGAAAACGGTCGGAAACGGTCGGAAAAACCCTCTACCATTTCCATTTTCATTTTATTTTCTCGAAAATGGAATCGGAACGGTATACTCGGAAACGGTAACGATATCGGTTATATCGGTATCTCGGAAACGGAACCGTCGGAACGGGAATATACCGATATCGGACGGAAGTCGAAAATTCATGTCGGAAACAGCGAACTGTGGTATCATCCCGCATTTAACTATGTATGAAGATGACCTTATAATTTCACCCTTGCATCATTACGCTGCCACACAACACCGTTATATGATGATTAATAAGTTGACAATAAGATTGATAAATAATATAAATAAAGTTCAATGATACTTCAACATCAATGTGGCTAAAGCATACAATGTGGCTTACATGATAGGATTACAGCATAACTAATATTGTCCGACTTTTTTTAGGATATAGATTTGAAGTCTTCGAGAACACCAAGCTCACAAGCTGGCATGGCTTCAGCTGATCAGCTCCTTGTCAAACATCATTCATTATTTCATCATCAATTGACATAGCTATATCGTCGTCCTACAGTGGCACATTGCATAAGAACTTTTATATTGACACTGTATAACTACTGTTGTAATTAAGTTTCATGCTAAACTAGACTTTTTGGTATTTCCAGGTCGATCACAGAGAGGAGTCAAGATGGTGGGGCCCGCCAGTGGATCCCACAGTCTTTCTTTTCCTCTCTTTCTTTTATTTTTTCTATCTCTCTTATCCTTCCCTTCTCTCGGTTCCTTTTCCTGCTCTCTCGATTTCTTCTCTGTTTTCTCTCTCGTTCTCTTCTCTGCCTTTGGCTCCTTCACGCGCGCCCGAGAGGAGAGAGGCGCCGGAGATAGCGGCCTGGCGCAGGGCGGCGGTGGGGGAAGGAGAGAGGAGAAAGGGGCGGCATCGGTGGGGAGGAGGAGGCTGGGGCGGTGCGGCGGCGCTCGGCGCTTGGCTTGGTGGCACGGAAGCCGGCGGTGGAGCATGGGGGAGGGAAGGTGGCCGGCTGCGACGGAGGCCGTCGGGGCGAAGGAGGTTGCGGCCGGCGTCGGCGACCTGGTGGCGGCGCCCAACATGGCGCGGCGGTGCCCCAGCGCCGATGAAGACGACGATGCGGTCAGGCCTAGTTGGCTTCTTTATTCGGAATGGGCTGCTCCTTAATGCCTAATGGGCTCCTCCTCCTGCTAGCCAGGCCCAGCCGACTTCCTTCTTCGGAATTTTGTCGGAAATTTGACGGAAATTACCGATAAAAAACGGTTACCGACAAAACGGTCGGAAAAAACCCCATATCATTTCCGCTACCATTTCCGAAAGAGATTACCGTTTCCATTTCCGATACCGACAATTACCGATACCGATTGAAACGGTCGGTGCAAACCGGAAACGGTAGCCGGAATTCTCGGAAATTTCCGTACCGTTTTCACCCCTAGATATAAATGATAGGTGATGTAATTAAGTAGGGTAGCATGACAAAATTATGTACAGCGGCGGAGCCACCTCCAAGGCAGATCGGCTGGCCACCCAGACTCCGCTGCTACCGTCTCCACTACCAACACCCGACAGCGCCTATGAAAATTAGTTGGTCACTAAAAAGGCTATTAGTGAACCTAACTCAATGGTGTCACTGGCTCCGCCATTGATAATATAGGATCTCCGTGATCTGGTTTGCCTAAAACCGGCACATATGAGGCGTTTTCCATGTAAATGAGCCTTTTGACGGGATAAAAATTGAACCAGCACCTATAACTGCTCACTGGTGTCGGTTTAAAAAAACGGCAACAATAATTCTACCAAGTCATAGGTGCCGGTTCATCTAATAAATTTACACCTATATATGTCATATATGTGTCGGTTCATGAAGAAAGGATCACCTATGGACTTACATGTATTTTCTATCTATCTTTTTCATATGAAGACAGATGAAGATGGACTTTATACAAATTTTTAAATCTCGACGAGATCTACCATTTTGTAGTTGACTACTCTTTCATTCGAGGTGTTTTCCATCTCCTAAAATATGTTGTAATTTCTTAGATCTATTTAGATAAATGAAATTTTAAAAATCATAAATGTCTGGGATGGCGACAAAATATACTCCCTCCAGCTCCATAATTCTTGACGTTTTGACAATGCCGAGGTACTGTTACTTTCCTATTTTGTAATCTGAACACTGACCTCTATATTCCTTTACACTCACATCCTTTTCTATTCATGTATTTTTTCCAAGAATGCTCACAATCGAGCATCCAACGCAACGCTCCCATCGAACACCTCCACAAGAATCCCAGCCATTTATCCAAGATGTGATCCGACGGTTGAGTTGCGGGAAACACTTGGACGCGAGTGTCCCATATCCTGACCTCGATGGCTCCACGCAGGCAACAACAACCCTCTCCTCGATGCCAAAGTCACTACTTCTGCAGCCGCCGCCGCCAAAAGATCCTCCCTCCTCCCCACCGGCTCCCTTCTCCCTCCTCCTCCACAATCATCTTCATCCCCTCTAATGGACTTTAAGGGAGCTGCATGGTGGGGAGATCCAACTTGTCATCAAGGTGGCACTGACGTGTCAGCGTGCTGGTGGCGAACAGGGGAAAGGCGAGGAAGTAGAAGAACAAGAGGGTTGATGTTTGGAGGCTTCGCGGTGGAAGAGGAGGTGGAGGAGGCAATGGCATTTGGTGGATCCAGTTGCCGGAGTGGAGGAAGAAGTATATTCAGCCAATGGAGTATGGGAAGAAGATGACGGTAGGTTTTATTGCACTATATTGTTTATTTCTGTTGCATCTTGTTCTGTTTGAGTGTTTCATGCTTTTCTTATAATGTTGCACATGATGTGCAGTGTATTTTTTTCTTGATGCTACACACAATAGAACCTTGATGTTGTCATCAATGATGTTAAAGGCTGAAACATTTTTTGTTGAGCTATGATACATATGAAACAATTTTTGTTGAAATATTTTTTAGTAAGTCAGGAAACATTTAAAACATTTTTCTATACGGTGAAACAGAACTTTTGATTAGGATCAGACATCTGATCCCTAGTATTTTTCCTATCTGCATTTTTCCATCCTATAATCTGAACGATTAATTTTTTTTTTGGAAAATTTTGCTACAGGACATCGTAACTTCGCTGTTTAGCTTTAGAACACCGCACGAAGTGCCTTTTAGGGGAAGACACTATCAAAACTTGGATATTTTCTTGTGGACGCCGCACCTATTAAAATAATAATTTCCGGATGAGGAGGAGAGAGAAATCACATGAAATATCAAAAATGTCCTTGGGCCCACGTGTCAACACTCCTATCTCTCTTCTCTCTCCATCTGGCACCGGCAATAGGGAACAGCGACAGCGGCATCACTCCAAATCTAACCGGTGCAACTCCAGTGGCGTCACCCTGGACCCAGATGATGGTTGCTGCCCTTGCCCTCATGGCGAGCTCCTTAACGCATGCCACCGTCCATCAGCTCAGCCACCACCATCTCCGCGCCGCCGCGACCCTTGCTGCAGTCGGCCGCCTCGGGACCTCGTCGCCGCGCAGCTCCACGCTACCTTTAATAGTCCCTATGTCCTCCCCTCTCCTTTAATTGAGCCGTCATCGACCATAGCCACGTCGTCGTCGCCGTCCCAAACCCATTGCCACCGCCGGCTATGGTGCTCGCGGCCTCTAGCCACCCTCGGCCACGCCATTGCCTCTAGAAGGTGAGGGAGGGCCCACTCTAGCTATCCCGGCCTTCGGCCGAGCCACCCCCTTCTTTGCCCTTCGCCGGTGAGCTCGTGCCAAGCCGTCGCACACGCTCACCGTCTCATAGAGATGCGGCGCGGGAAGGAAGGGATAGAGGGAAGAGAGATAGAAGAGCTGACATGTGGGCCAAGGGCAATTTTGACATTTCATGCAATTTTTCTCTCTTCCTCATCTGGACATTATTATTTTAATGATGCGGTGTTCACTAGCAAATATCCAACTTTTGATAGTGTTTTCCAATAAAAGTCTGTTCGCGTAGTGTCCTAAACTAAAACTCCGCGTCCTAAAACTAAAACTGCGAAGTCACGTTGTTAGCAAAATTTGCCTTTTTTTTCCAAAGTGGCCAAACTAAGGATGTGTTTGGATGGAGGGCTTGGATAGGATATGGCCACCCAAATTTTGGAGGTGTTTGGATGGTGGGCAGCACTGGGATATGGCTACCACCTAGGGAATATTCCCTCAGATGCTGGCTCTATGCATTCGGCCGATTCGGCCGGACGGGGTGGCCCAGGACCGTGTGAATCGTGCACGTGAAGAACTCTGCATGCCCTCACCTCCTCCCCATCCTTTTCTCCCTTTTTTTCCGAGAGATTTGATAATTTATCACTCATTTAAGTGGGTTTTGATTATTGACATCCTAGTCCTTTCATATACTTAGATAGTCCTGCATGTCATCCTCACAAGTACTCCCTCCGTATTTTAATGTATGATACCGTTGACTTTTTGACAAATGTTTAACCTTTCGTCTTATTTAAAAAATTTATGTAATTATAATTTATTTTATTATGACTTGATTTATCACCAAATATTCTTTAAGCATGATGTAAGTATTTTTATATTTGCATAACAATTTTGAATAAGACGAGTGAGCAGCCATTCATTAAAATACGGATGGAGTATCAATTAAAGCATTTGGGCAACAAAAAAAATGTCAAATTATCAAAATTTTCCTTTTTTTCTCCTCTCTTCTCACCAAATCACCAGTGCCAAACCCTACCTCTCCTCCCTCCTCTGTTTCGGCGGCGCACCAGGCGGCGTGGAGGGCGGACTGGTAGGCGGTGCCGGGCCGGGGGTGGTTCGGCGGAGCGGGTGGCGGCGCCGGGGACGAGCGGCAGGTTTCGGCGGCGGGGCGGGCGGCAGGTGTCGGCGGCGCAGGCGGTGGGTGTCGGCGGCGCGGGCGCTGTCTCCTGGCGGCGCGGGCGGCGACTCCAGGCGACCCCTTCCTCGTACCCCCGATCTCGGAAAAGAGGATTATAAGGTAAAAGCACACACAAATCTAACACCACTACAGCGATAAACCCCCCAAACCCCACCACCACGCCGCCGCCGCCGCCGCCGCCGGAGAAGATGATGGTGCCGCTGGATCCGTCATCCAAGCCCACCTCCCAGCGCCGCATCGCGGAGGGGGACACCGTCGTGGTGTACGAGCGCCACGACGCCATGCGCGCCGTCGCCGTGCTCCCGGGGGCCGTGCTCCAGAACCGATTCGGCGTCTTCCGCCACGACGACTGGATCGGCCGCCCCTTCGGCTGCAAGGTCCACAGCGCCGCCTCCGCCGGCGGCGGAGGGGCTCGCGGGGGCAAGGGGAAAGGCGGCGGGTTCGTCCACCTCCTTGCGCCCACCCCTGAGCTGTGGACGCTCGTGCTCAGCCACCGGACGCAGATCCTCTACCTCGCCGACATCAGCCTCGTCGTCTCCTACCTCGAGCTCGTCCCCGGGTGCCTCGTGCTCGAGTCCGGCACCGGGAGCGGCTCCCTCACCACCTCGCTCGCCCGCGCCGTCGCCCCGCACGGCCGCGTCTGCACCTTCGATTTCCACGACCAGAGGGCCGCCTCCGCAAGGTACTAATTTTTTTCTCTTATGGACTGTAATATTTTTTTTCTGATGGAAGAATCGATCACCTGATAAAAATATTTAGGCCGAATTTTGGGGAGAAAAATAAACAGCTGTGTCTAATTTATATATATTATCTTAGCATTCTGCATACATTTTTTTTTCTTATGGACTAATATTTTTCTTATGGAAGAATCGATCACTTATAGAATATTTAGGCCGAATTTTGGGGAGAAAAATAAACAGATGTGACTAATTTATAGATATTATCTTAGCATTCTGCATACATTTTTTTTCTTATGGACTAATATTTTTCTTATGGAAGAATCGATCACTTGATAGAATATTTAGGCCGAATTTTGGGGAGAAAAATAAACCACTGTGACTAATGTATAGATACTTATCTTAGCATTCTGCATAGAGAAGGTAGATTGGTGATAATTCACAAGCAATATTATCCTTTGGTGGTTTCCCTGCCTGATATGATTGTCACAAATCAGAATCACCTGTGCACTTTTGAACACACATTAGCTTGGAGTTGTCCAAGCTTTTTGATGTGAGATCGTTTTCTGTTGTGGTGGTAATGCACGATAAAGTGATTTGTGTGGCACCACCTTGCTGGTTGTATGGAGCTATTTTGCAGTAATGCACAATAAAAGTATTTTGTGTGATATGCTGTTATAGAAAATGACTTTACAGATAGGATAGGGCCATAGGGATGATTTCTCAACTTATGTCTTTGCAGCACCTGTAAGATACTAGGATGATATGATCGACAGGGTTCACCCCCTTTTCAACTCCACTTGAAGCATAACACTAATGTGAAATGCAGATTACACTACAGAGAAAAATTTACTTGGACTAAAAATTGTTATTGTCACTCAACATGGCACAGCAGATAGAGAACTTATATAACATGAAAGAGAAGATTTTCAGAACCGTGAATCCATGATCGTCCAATACTTCTCCATAGACATATCATTTTGATGGATATTTTCCTTTTTGCAATTACGATTTGGTTTCCATTTGTAAATAGGGAAGATTTTGAGAGGAATGGCCTGACCAGCATAATCACAGTCGCAGTTCGGGACATACAAGGACAAGGGTTCCCTGAGGAACACACTGGTGCTGCCGATGCTGTGTTCTTGGACTTACCCCAGCCTTGGCTTGCAATACCTTCTGCGGGGACTATGCTAAAGCAAGATGGAGTTTTATGCTCCTTCTCACCCTGCATTGAGCAAGTGCAGCGGGCTTGCGAAGCTATGAGATCATGTTTCACAGGTTCAATGCATGCTCAGAATTTTTTTCTGTCAGAAATTGAGGGCGTATTATAACTGTTTTTCATGATTCATGGGAGCAAATGACCCCATTATACTCATAGATTGATTGTGGTACCAATTTGCACATCTGGGATTGAAAGTTTGATTATTTTGCCTTGTGTTGCTTTGGAGTACTTTTGGGAGAGAACTTTACATATTTATTTCGAGTTGTAGCAAACTTGTTTAGTTTGTAGTTTGTACCTTGATAGCTGTTTGGATGACAGACCTTAAGTTAGCTGCTTCGACAAACAGTATTTAAAGTTTCTTGTTTGAGTATGAAAGTTGTAAAGATTTTGCTACAGCTTACAATTTGATGTTTTGTGGGATCCATTTAACATAGGAGTCATTTTCATCACCATTCAATTTTATTAGTGGGTAGTCTTATTCAGACTTATAATTTGATGATGCGACTCTAGTTCTATCATATTGGAGTTACAGAATGGTGACATTTAGACCCTGAAAAATTATATCCCATTTTGAATATAAATTATCTACAGTTGACTCTACTAAACACTAAACTATTTCTGAATACATAACCATAGATTTGAAAATATTGACCAATAGGTAATACAAGTAAACATTCTCCTGAGTTAACCCACAAAAGTGGGGGCTGAACAAAAGTTCTATTTTAACATTTCCGTGTTATAATGCAGATATTAGAACCTTTGAAATTCTTCTTCGCACCTATGAAGTACGAGAAGGTGGTTTGAAGGGTGCCACAACCAATGAAGAGTCTAATGCAGTGCCTCTTGCTCAGAAAAAAAGAAAACTTCTTGCTGCTGCAGAAACTTTAGATGTTAAGCAGAATTCTTCTAGTGTTATGGTTAGGCCTTGTAGCACTGCTAGAGGACACACTGGCTACCTGACATTTGCGAGGCTTCGTGTGCATGGAAACTAAACTGATCCTCCATACAGGTGAGTAGGTATACAAGAGTAGGGATCAAAATTATGTCCTGTTTAAGACCTATAAATTGATACAAACTGCCAATTTATTTCTACCTAGCCACACTTTTATTACTCTTTTAGCGTAGTGCTTTTGTGTTGAGTTGTAACTGTTTGCTCTTGCTCTGTAACTTGATAGGGAAACTTGGGGACTCACACGTTCATAATAGAAGGAAATTGAGTGTGCAACCCCATGTTCAGGTATTCTCTCAAGATTGATTTGGAGATGATCATTCTTTTTCTGAAATACTGTTATGGCCATTTGCTGCCATTGCTGATAGTCAACCAGGGTCACCTGTACTGAACTGCATTTACCTGTACGTCGAGCTGTGGGCCTTGCATTTGTTGTAATGGTGTAGAAGTATTTCCCAGAGTTCCTTTTTAGGAGTACTTGAGGAGATATTGGGAGGAGTACTTGAGGAGGTATTGGGAGGTATAAGATGCCATACTTCCTGAAGGACAGTAAAAACGCTCTTGTTTAACCTGGGCAAGTGGGCAGGGCATGTTCGCATTTCACGTCTCCATGCCTTGCGCAAAAAAGAATTCAAATATCTATCTTTTTTAACAAATGTGTTTTGACAGGATGCCGAAAAAAGGTGTGGTATGTTTCTGTTTGATTGATTAGCACCGCCTAACCTCTTTTTCCTAAACCATGTAATACAGTTAATTCAAGTCCTATCGGATGAAACAAATCAACCAGATCGGTGATTTTTATGTATGTACTTAGACAAAGTCAAATAAGAGACATCTTGCCATTGCACAAGTTTAGGTGATATCGCCATCCAAGTGATTGAGTAGTTGATATAGATCATTCACCTAAAATTCTAAAATAGACTAGTTATGCCATTAGCCTCCATGCACAAGCCATAAATAACTTGAATAGATGGCCAGCTAATTGATTAGTAAACTATTTATATAGGACTGTTGTTTTAAAAAAAATACAAATTTTGTTGTAGTACATGGCGACTTTTTGTTTACTTCCTGTAAAAGTGAATATTTGGAGGAACACACTCTTAAAAAAACATGATTATTTGCTACTTTCCAGTCGCATAAACCTAGACGTTAATTATGATGTTTTGGACTAGGTTGAAGTTAAACTTTTATAACTTCGATTATGAATGACTTCAAAAATACTTAGTTTAAAGGCACTAGAACAACACATATAGGTGTGTGTGTGTGTGCTGCGTGTGCGTGTGCGCGCGCGTGCCCCCCGTGCGCGGGGGTGGGCGGGCGGGCGCGCGCGCGGGCGTGCTTATATATATCATAGAAAAACATAGTCAAAGATATATTTTCGAGACTGTTATTGTGCAACACGCCATGGATACCATGGACATTAAAATATATATTTATGATTAAATAGGAGTGTTAAATGTCAGAAATACTTGTCATATTCTTCCTACATCAAAATTCGCACAAAAAGAAAACTCTAAGTTGCACTGTTTCCCTATCAAGTATCAATCACGAGCTGCACAACTTAAGTAGGAGAAACCGATGGGGATTTAAAGGCTTGATGCGATGACGATCTTGCAGGAGAAACCGATGGCTCTTCCGCGTGTCACGCGTGACGCTGTAAACAAATCGAATATAATGACCACGCGACAATGCGAGCAATGCAGCTATAAAAGTTGGCGAACGACATGTAGCATGCATTTCCAAGCAGAGCCAGAACATTGCGTGACGCCGTGATGATCCCGTACCCGGCGCAGGGCCACGTCACGCCGATGATGAAGCTGGCCAAGCTGCTCCACGCCCGGGGCTTCCACGTCACCTTCGTCAACACCGAGTTCAACCACCGCCGCATGCTGGCATCGCGGGGCGCCGCCGCGCTCGACGGCGGCGTGCCGGGGTTCCGCTTCGCCGCCATCCCCGACGGCCTCCCGCCGTCTGACGCCGACGCCACCCAGGACATCCCCGCGCTCTGCCACTCCACCATGACCACCTGCCTACCCTACGTCGTCGCTCTCCTCGCCGAGCTCAATGACCCGACCTCCGGTGTGCCGCCGGTCACGTGCGTCGTGGCGGACGCCATCATGTCGTTCGCGTACGACGCGGCGAGGCGGATCGGCGTGCCGTGCGCCGCGCTGTGCACGCCGAGCGCCTGCGGCTTCGTGGGGTACAGCCACTACCGGCAGCTCGTCGAGCGCGGCCTCGTGCCGCTCAAGGACGCGGCGCAGCTCGCCGACGGGTACCTTGACACGGTGGTGGACGGCGCGCGCGGCATGTGCGATGGCGTCCAGCTGCGCGACTTCCCCAGCTTCATCCGCACCACGGACCGCGGCGACATCATGCTCAACTTCATCATGCGCGAGGCCGAGCGGCTCACCCTCCCCGACGCCGTCATCCTCAACACCTTCGACGACCTCGAGCGGCCGGCGCTGGACGCCATGCGCGCCATCCTCCCACCGGTCTACACCGTCGGGCCGCTCCACCTCCACGTTCGCCATGTCGTCCCCAAGGGCAGCCCACTGGACACAGCCATCGGCTCAAACCTCTGGAAGGAGCAGGACGGCCGGCCGCCGCGCTCCGTCGTGTACGTCAACTACGGCAGCATCACCGTGATGACGAACGAGCAGCTGCTGGAGTTCGCGTGGGGCCTCGCCCACAGCGGCTACCCGTTCCTCTGGAACGTGCGCCCCGACCTCGTCAAGGGCGACGCCGCCGTGCTTTCACAGGAGTTCCTCACCGCCGTGGAAGGCCGCAGCATGCTGACGACATGGTGCCCGCAGGAGCAGGTGATCGAGCACCCCGCGGTGGGCGTGTTCCTGACGCACTCTGGGTGGAACTCGACGCTGGAGAGCCTCTGTGCCGGTGTGCCAATGTTGAGCTGGCCCTTCTTCGCCGAGCAGCAGACGAACTGCCGGTACAAGCGCACGGAGTGGGGCGTCGGGATGGAGATCGGCGGCGAGGTGGAGCGGAGCGACGTGGCCGCCACGATACGGGAGGCCATGGAGGGGGAGAAAGGGCGGGAGATGCGGCGTCGCGCGGCGGAGTGGAAGGAGATGGCCACGAGGGTGACGCTGCCCGGTGGAACCGCGGATATCAACTTGACAAGGCTTATCGACGAGGTGCTGCTCAGTGGTGGGAAGAAGCGTCAAGCTTTGGACGCCCGTGACTGAATCTAAAAGTTTACGATAATATTGTGTTGGCATGTTTATATTGAAAAGGTTTTCTTAAAAATTAATTTGAATCGTATATAATCTTACAAAATAGCAGCAGTCCAGACATCCAATGGTCCACGGTGAGGAAGCACTAGAAGTGCGTGGTTATGTAGCTCCATTCACTAGGTTTAAAATCGTATTGTCGACAATTCGACCTATTCATTTATATTTGTTATTTAATGAGGTTTATGGGATTTATCTGGATCTATCTTTGTAAGTGTGTAAAGGGACACACTTACGGCCAGCAAGTATCACTACTAGAGAAACCATCTTTCATGGGTTGCCCAAATACCTCAATAGCCCCGACTCAATAGCTCCATTTTTAGTCTCGGTTTAAAACTAAATGATCTTTAGTCCCCGTTCATTCATTGTCAGGCCGTGGCAGGCATCCTAGTATCTTTAGTCTCGATTAGTGTTAACAACTAGAACATTAAAGATCAGTGCTTTAGTCCTACCTAGTTGTTTATAAAGAAAAAACGGCCGTGGGAGGCAGCTGAGACGAAAAAGCGCACGTGGAGAGACAAAAAAAAATCTCTATCTTTCTATCCCTCGACCTTATTTCCTTTCTATCCTTATCTTCTTATCTCTTATCTTCCTCCTCCTCTCCTTCCCCGGGCCCTCCCCCTCCGCCTCCTCCCTCCCCACTTCATTAGCTACGGCCGTGGCGGCCGGATGCGGCAGCCGGGTGGCAGGGCACGGCGGGCGGCGGCAGGCGGCGAGGCGCGACGCGGTGGGCGGCGGCAGGCGGCAGCGTGGCCGTCGCGGATGGCTGCGGCAGGCTGCAGGCGGCGGCGCCCAGCACGGCCGAGGCTGTGACTGATGTAATTTTGTGTTGTAAATTTGGAATGATTTTTAGATGTTTTTGTGAATGATTTTGTGATGTAAATTTGTGGATGATTTTGCATTATGATGTAAATTTGTGGATGATTTTGTGATGTTTGTGTGAACGTGGATGATTTTGTTATTGAATTTGTGGATGATTTTATCTGAGTTCGGTTAGAAATCAATATTAAAACAGAAAAAAACAATGAAAAGGGAAAAGAAAAAAAAGAAAAAAAAATCTTTAGTCCCAGTTAGTAACACCAACTGGAACTAAAGATGGCTTTTACAAGCACGTGGTGCATCCCTCTTTAGTTCCGGTTGGTGTTATCAACCGAGACTAAAGATGGCGATCTTTAGTCCCGGATTCTCTCTCCCGGTTTACTTCCCGGGATTAAGGGGTTGCAAACTGGGAGAGATAAGGGTTTCTCCAGTAGTGTGTGGTGCGAGTTCAAGTTAGAGAGTGCGCACATGCGTCTCCCGTGTAATAAAAAAGTGAGAGAGGTCACTTCATCTGCGGTTGTTGAAGTGATACTTGGTAAGCCATCATGCAATACTCACTCAAGCCTTCAACGAGTCAGTTATAAGTAGGATATACATCACTATGACACTGAAGAGTCATAGTGTAGGAACCAAGCTCACAAACCATCAACACTCTGACAAAAAGAAAAATGTCATGGCCTACATAAGAAGGTGTGGTGAGGTCCTAATTCAGGGAAAATACATGATTATAGTTTGCTGATCAATTATGAATGGATGCATGGAGCCAAATCTCACATGGATAAGATAAGATGTTAGGTCTAATGAGAATTGGAGGCACCTTGCAACCAACTGTCACATTGAAGATCAGAGTGATATCACAGTGCTGTTGGGCGAGCAGAGGAACAAACTTGCGTGCTTGTTCCTTGAGATTCTTTCCCTACACGACTCTCTATGCGAGATGTTATTTCCACGCACATTTCTGAACAAGCTGCGCCTATCTTCTTCACAGCTTCTCACTTCTGGATATCAGCTACCAATACTGTCCCCCTCCTGTTCCACGTACATTTGGTTTTTCGCATTAGCTTCCAGTTTGTTTTAGGCAGAAGATTGAAACGCTTGACCTCGTTAATCAATTTGCAAATGGAGGAATCTTGTGAGAATTTCATGGGAATTGAACTAATTCCTATATGAACTAGCTGCAAATTTTCTGTGAGCCAAAGAGCCTTAAACAAAGGGCAAGTGGGTGTTTGTATCCAAATTTATTAATGGCGTATAGATTTCAGAAATTTGGTGTAGTCAATCGATAGATCACCAAATTTGTATTTGTATCCAAATTCATTAATGGTTACACATGATATAAGGCAAAATTTGGTTATACCACAGGTGAAGAGGCCGGTTCTGGAAAATAACACTAAAGGTTCTGTCCACAGGTGTCCATCTTCTATGCTAACAGAGTTAGCTGAGAAAAAGAAAAGAAAAAAAACCTTCAGGCTACACCTGCTGCTACCGTTGACAGAGTTCTATATAACGCGGAATGCAGAAAAAAGGCCTTCTGGGTACTTCGGAATCGGAGAAATTTTTGGAGAATTCAATCCGAAATAGTTTAAAATGTAAACAAATTTTGACCAAATTTGAGTTAATTTTAGTTAATTCACAGAAAATTTAAAAAATCTATTGTGGGGATTGAAATTTTAAACCGAAATATGAAACCTTGCGATTGACAACGATAACTATGACCTCGAGTCAACCCGCCGTTTGACCGCCACACATCTTCTGTGCTAGCCAGTAGCCACTAGCTGCCATCCCTTCTACCTCCGGATCAGTCGACCCCATCACTGCCGTGCCCATGATATTCGCTCAAACAGAGCCAATTAATCAACTGAACTTTGAAGCTGAAAATTCAGAATTGTTTGGGAGCACAAAGGGACATAACAAACTTATGAGCAGGCAGAATGTGCTCAATGGGTGAAACTCGACGTTGGAGATCCTCTATGCCGGCTTGCCTGTGCTCAGCTGGCCGGTCCTCTTTTGCCAAGCTACTAACTACAAGTAAAAGTGCATGAAATTGGGGTTTCATATCCTATACTATAATGACTCTACCATTAATATAAGCACTGACGTGTGGGATAATAAAAAGGTGAAAACCATATACCAGTGACTATGATGGTGAGGATCCTCACCCACAGAGTGGGTTATTGGGATGGAGATTGGCAGTGAGGTTTAGCGGTAGAGGCAGCAGATGCGGTACAAGCAGCAGAATGGAAGGAGATGCATGTGCGGGCTATATATACGGACATGTGGGCCCCATAGTGCCACTTGACCTGACATTCGTTTTTCGATAATGTTTATGGATTTACCATTGATCTATATATTTAAGATATAAAGGGGCGCACTTACTAGTGTGGCTGCCATGTGAGTTCGTGGTAGTATGCGTACACGTCTTTTGTGTAATGGAAAAAGAAAATATGGATCGCTTGATGTGGTTGTTGGAGTCATATATGACTCAAGCCTTCAACCAGACATGTTCAGCTATAAATAGGATGCATCACTTCGACACTTGCTGTCGTATATTGAGGATCAATAGTGTAGAAACCAAGCTTAGACACCATCAAAACTCTGAGAAATGAAAAGGAAATGTCATGGTCTGCATAGGAGGGTGAGGTTCTACTTTAAAAGAAAATAAGGCAGTAGTTTGCCCATCAATTATATATAAATGTATATACTCGGAACCATATCTCAAACAGATCACTTAAAAGACTCCAGGCCTTGACTGATAAGAATTGGAGGCACCAGGAACTAAAGTTCAGTTCATTGTGACATTGGGTGTCAGACCACACAGGTGTTGGGCAAGCGAAGGCATAAAACAAGAGAGTATAAGAACACAAGTTGGGAATATATAGTATAAAGCACAAGTTCCAGCACTCCGAATTCTCGAACCAGTGTGTTCAGAAAAGTGCATACCAATGACCACAAGGGGGTAGGATGTAGATCCCATTCTAACGACATATCCCATGAATTGCATATACTCCCCTACATGATGAAGCATTGAAGCTAATAGCAAAGGGAGCATATGACAGAGTTGCATTGTGAAAGGTTGGGAATTGGGATGGCATAGTACTATGGTCATTAGAGGAATTAAAGAAGAGAGAACCAATGGTATGATTGGTTTTATGCCTTATAGGTGAAGTTTCTAGAGTTAACAGATATTGCTGCGGTATTTGAGGCATGTTTATATTGGAAGCTTGCCAAAATTAAAAATTGGTATGATTGTGAACGCTGGCAGCCAAACATACCCTACGTAAGGGCATTTTGATCATTCTCTCTAATGTAATAAACTGAGTATTCAAATGAAAATATTGTGAATCGGCCTTGCTACCTGATATGATTCATAGCAAATTAAAAGAATTAAAGTGTATATACATGCTGAGGGAAACACCCAGGGGTCTTCCGGCTAGCTTCACAAGGTCGTAGGCTAGACAATATGGGTTTGAAGCATCACCCCTTCTAATTATTTGATATTAAGTCATTTCCTAATATTTGCTTTTTTTATATATTCATGCTAAGCCATATATGGGCCTGTTTGTCCAGAATCGTTAATACGTTGACACAGGACCTATGTTTTTTCTTTTCTTTTTATCTTTTCTGTGTCTAATAAAACTACTATTTTAACAAGTTTAACATCCCAGTTTCAACCAAAAAATAAATACATTGTGGAGATTATGGATACCCCATACCCACATGGCATGTACATCCGACTGGGTATAAGGGTACCATATGTAGATAGAATATCTTTAAGGGGCTCGGGTTAAATTCCTAACTTATGTATCATGGAAATACCAGGGTCCTAGTCGGTTACGATTGTATTTTATTTTTTACTTGCCTATTCCGTTAGGAATATGGGCTGTATGTTGTAATACAGACTCCTCTCACTATATAAGGAGAGGTCCGGGTGCCTCTTGGGGCATAACTTTTCCTCAAGATTATACAATCAATAACACACTCGGTGGATCAATCCCTGGATAGGAGTAGGGTATTACTTCTCATTGAGAGGGCCTGAACCTGTATAAAATTCATTGTCTTCATACCCATCTATTTTTTCATCTTGATAGCCACCATTTTTCTTATTGCCGAAATCTTGTTTCGACATACATGTTTAACATCCGGCCCGTTTAGTGTCAATCAACTGACAGGGAGTACTGAAGGAAGAAAAAAAACAAGATGC